CAGTGACAGAGCAGAAGGCCAGATGAAGACAGAGGTAGAGACTGGAGGGATTTGACCGAAAGCCATGGGACCCCTGGAACTACTAGAAGCTGCTAATATCTGGCCTGCGTGGCTCAGTGGTTGAGGATCGACCTATGAACCAGAAAATCACAGTTCGATTCCCGGTCAGGGCACATGCCTGGGTTGTGGGCTCGATGCCCAGTGTGGGGTGTGCAGGAGGCAGCCAATCAATGACTCTCTCATCATTTATGTTTCTATCTCTCCCTCTCCCTTCCTCTCTGAAATCAATAAAAATATATCTTAAACAAATAAAGAATGACCCTGCCCTAGAGCCTCTGAAGGGAATATGGCCCTGCGAACACCTCGATTTTGGACTTCCAGTCTCTAGAGTACTGAGAGACGAAGTATCTGTTGTTTTAAGACAGTTTGTGGTGCTTGTTATGGCACTCAACACACTGCCTCAGGACCTTTGCACTGGCTGTCTCCTTCTGGACTGTTCTGTTCCAGACATCCACCCCAATCAGGTCTCTGCTCAACTGTCCCCACCCTGAGAGAGACCCTCTCTGACCACTGTTTCACTCTGTCCACCGCTCCCTTGTTGTATTTTTGCTCCTGGCACCTAACACTCCTGTCCCTAGAAGGAAGGCTGGCTCAGCACTGGGCCCAGGTCCAGCCCAGGGCCAGCCCAGAGCTCTTCCCCAGTGGGGATTTGTTGACTGAAAACATGAAGACTCTTTTCATCTTTATCACAAGGAAGAAAACCAAGGCGCCCGGCATCTGACCAAAGAAAGCACGACTGGCCCTGTTCCCAGGTCTCCCCAGCTCTCAGGAGAGTGATTGGCCAAGAACCTAGACTAGGGTCAAAGCTTTTGTAGTTCCCAAGGCAGGATTTCAGAGCATTTTTCTTTTGTGAGATCTTAAAGCTACAACAATGCGATTTGATCTTTGGATACATCAAAATTCGCAAGGAATCATCCCCAAATGGGCATAGTTGAGAAAATGGGAAAGCCAGTTGGATTCCTTGTAGTTTGTGGGGAGGGGAGGCAGAATTGCCTGGAGTAGAAAAAGCTGTGGTGCTGAGGTTCCCTGGCCCAGGGCGAGGATCTGTGGCCTCTTAGTGGGGAGGCTTTGGACATCTCCTTTCCATCTCTGAGCTCCAGTTTCCTCATTTAGAAACAGGGGTCAGGATAGTACCCACTTCCACCCTGAGAACGTGCACATAAGTATGCAGAGTGCCGGCAGGTGGGGAGGGAGAGCTAATAAGGTTGACCTCCTTTCCTCTTGCCAGCATGGCACAGCACTACCCAGCCTCTGAGGTTTTAGGCATAAAGAGCTGAGGTCCACAGGTAGAAAGCAAGGTGTCAATATGGCTGTGCTCCTTCCAGAGGCTCTAGGGTAGGGGTGTCAAACTCAATCAGAGAAGGGGCCAAAATCTAAAATCCAGCCTAAATCGCGGGCCGAATGGTTTACTGAACAGTCATAAACTGTCATTGTGATGGAAACGCAGCAGAGTGCAGTGATGACAGCGCGGTGCGGGCCACATTGCAAGGCCTGGTGGGACGGATTTGGCCCGCGGGCCTTGTGTTTGACACATGTGCTCTAGGGGATGCTCGTTCCTCACCTCCTTTAGTTTCTGGTTACCTCAGACATTCCTTGGCTTGTGGCCGCATCCCTCCAATCTCTGCCTCCACCTCCACACAACTGTTTCCTCCCTGTCCTCTCTTATAAGGATACCAGACATATTGGATGAAGGGCCCAGCCTACTTCAGGATGACCTCATCTTAACTATTTTCATCTGCAAAAATCTTACTTCCAAGATCTTGAGATGAAGTCACAAAGTATTGTGGGTTAGGACTTCAACATATCTATCTATCATCTATCTATCTATCTATCTATCTATACTTAAGGGTGTGTGTGTGTGTGTGTGTGTGTGTGTGTGTGTGCATAATTTAATCCACAATACTACGCAATATCCATTCCAACCTTCTTCTCTGGAGATAAGACTCCCAATTTTGTTCAGCGCCTCCGTGGGCTTAGCCTCAGGTAACAGGTTAAGACAATTCTGTCCTCTGCTTTCCTAGCCTTTCTTACAGGTAAAGGTGGCCATCTGACCCAGTTCTGGCTGAGACTTAAGTGAAAGTCTGCTGGGTAAGCTTCTGGGATTTTGTTGCTTTCTTGATAAAAGGGAACTGATGTGAAACAATTGCTCTTGCTCCTTGCTGCTTCAGTGCTTGGATGCATATGTGATGACTGGAGCTTTGGCAACCCTTTTGTGATCAAGAGGCAAAACGAAGCTAGTTAGAGAGATGCCAGTGCTCTCTCTAACCAGTGCCAGCAAGCTACCTCCAGCTTTCTTATGTGAGAAAATTAAACCTTATTTAATTCACCATAGTTAGGCTTTCTATTACTTGTGGCCACTTTCCTAGCTAATACTCTATTTGTTGATTCCTCTATTCTGTCCCCACAACCTGAGATTACCGAGGTGTCTTCCACCCAAGTGTGCAAGCATTGCACAGCTATCTTTCCTCTTTTCTCCTTTGTCCTTCTCTCCTCACCCCTTCTCTGCCTACTGGCTTGCTCTCCATCTACCTCCTTTCACCTCTTTCCCACGTTAACTAGCCAGAATATGGAAGGAAAGTACATTATATGTGAGGAATATTCTGGAAAAAAATACAATTACTTTACTCTCTACTTCCTTATTTCAATTTGATTTTTTCTGTTAAAAATTCTTTGCTAGATGCCCTAACCCAGTGGTTGGCAAACTGCGGCTCAAGTGCCATATGCAGCTCAAGAGCCAGGGTTTGCCACTATGTTGGACTAATGAGTTTGCCGACCACTGCTAAGACATTACCCTTACCCAGAAGTTTTGACTTCAGGTTAAAGACATGAGCACATTATTAAAATGATTTTTAAGTGTTTTTGCCTAGCAGTGGTCGGCAAACTCATGTGGCTTGTGAGCTGCAGTTTGCCAACCACTGCCCTAATTGGTTTGGCTCAGTGGATAGAGTGTCGGCCTGTGGACTGGGGGATCCCAAGTTCAATTCTGGTCAAGGGTATGTACTTGGTTGCGGGCACGGTGTGGGATGTGCAGGAGGCAGCTGATCGATGTTTCTCTCTCATCGATGTTTCTAACTCTCTATCCCTCTCCCTTTCTGTAAAAAATCAATAAAGTATACACTGAGTGGCCAGGTTATGATCTCTGAATGCATAATAATTTGGCGTCTCTCTCTCTCTCTCTCTCTCTCTCTCTCTCCATATGTGTGTGTGTGTGTGTGTGTGTGTGTGTGTGTGTGTATATATATATATATATATATATATATATATATATATATATATATTTGTTTAATTAGAGGCCCAGTGTATGAATTTGTGCATGGGTGGGGTCCGGCCAGCCTGGCCAGGGGGAGGGGACATGGGTAGTTGGCCGGCCTGCCTGCTGGTCGAACTCCTGGTCGAGGGGACAATTTACATATTAGCCTTTTATTATATAGGATATACACTGAGTGGCCAGATTATTATGTGTTCAGAGATCATAATAATCTGACCACTCACTGTATACTGTATAAAAGAAATCTTTGCCAGAAAAAGTTTAAAAAATATATTTATTTATTGACTTGAGAAAGAGGGAGAGAGAGAGAGAGAGAGAGTGAGAGCGAGAGAGAGAGAGAGATGTTTGTTCCATATAATCATGCATTCATTGCTTGATTCTTGTATGTGCCCTGACTGGGGATTGGACAACAACCTTGGCATATCAGGACAATTCTCTGACCAACTGAGCTACCCGACCATGGCAAGACAAAAGTTTTTTAAAAATCTTGGAACAGTGGTAAGTTTTCAGAATAATGAACAAAGGCCTCATAGCAACAGATAGAAGCTCCTGATTGTGAATGGAGGCAAGACATATGCCTTACTTACTCTCACATCCCAGCACACACTTAAATGTGCAGTGTGTGTCTGGGAAGCAAGGACTGCAGGGCAACCAAGGATGATCGAAGCAATAAGATCCAAATCCATCACTGACCCAGCAACTCCCCACCCAGGCATATGTATACCCAAGAGAATCGATCACATATGTCCACACAGACACTGGTACACAAATGTGCATAGGAGCTTTATTAGTCATGGCCAACACCTGGAAACAACACAAGTACTGTGGTCCGTGCACACAATGGAAGGATACTCAGCAAAGAAAACGAAGGCCTGCTACAACTACCTGGATGCACTTTAAGATCATTATGCAGAGTAAAAGAGGCCAGACAAGGAAGAGTGCACACAGCAGGGTTCCATTTACATAGAACTGCAGGAAATACAAAGTGATGAACAGTGACAGAAAGTAGACCATTGGTTGTGATTGGGAGGGAGGGAGGGACAAAAAGGTAGCTTATCCAGTAGAATCAATGGGATGACATTATCCTGGGAGGAGGCAACTCTTTCTTTTATTTTCTTTTCTCTTTTCTTTTCTTTTCCCCTCCCTCCCTCTCTCCCTCCTTCCCTCCCTCCCTTCCTTCTTTCCTGTTAGTTCTCATCTGAGGATATTTTTTCCCAATGATTTTTAGAGGGAGTGCAAGGGATCAGGACAGACACACAGAGAGAAACATCGATGTGAGAGATGCATTGACCCATTGCCTCCCACATGCACCAGAATGAAACCTGTGACCCTTCAGTTCGTGGGCCGATGCTCTATCCACGGAGCCAAAACGGCTAGGGTCCAGCTCTTCTTTATTAAAAGCTGGTTACTGACAGGCCTGTAAGAGCTAAACTGTTCGCTTACTAAGGCATTCTTCCAGATTCCCACCACGTGACAGCTGTTGCCCCAATCCTGGCCAGGCCATGGTTAAAGGCGACTGGAGCCCAAGCACAAGGCCACTGTCCACTGTCCCCTGCACTGTGTGGGGATTGGGTTCTTGAATTCAAAAATTGCCTGCATCTCAGAAAAAACACACATCTCCCAATGACTTCTCCATGGACTCAAGACACTGTTCCTAATCCTTATTTTTCTACAGGAAAACCCAAAAGTTGCAGAAACTTTCAACCACCTCCAGGCTATGCTGGGGCTGACTGTGGTCTAGAACCTGAGTTCAATGTGCTAAGGGGGCCGACATTCATTTCACAAGCATTTACTGTTAGGTTTGATCAAGCAATTGAATTGCTACTCCTCCCCCCAGGAGCTGGATTTCCAGGTCATTTCACTATGGACATTCCCTTTTCTGAGACCACATTTCACTTGCTGTCTCCACATTCCATTTTCTCCCCTCAGGGAATGCATACAGAAGCCTCCTCCCAGGAAAAAGCCCACCAAAAGTCCTTTGAAAGCTGCTGACTACAGTCACTGGGTGCTGGAGCCACCCAGGCTCAGCCACCTGGTGTGCGGATGATCGAATAAATTCAAAATCCTTTGGCGGACCTAATATTTACTAAGTGCCACGCCCAGCGCTGGGGCACAAAGATGAATGTGATGCGCAGAGCAGGAGGAGGTTATGAGATAAGAGCAAGTTACAAGCACTTTTCATAAGTCAAAGATGTGTAAAATCTTTTAAATAAATCTCTATAAAACATCTACATCTACATCTACACCTACATATACACCTATACCTATATTTCTCACTCCTGGAGTCGTCCTAGCAATTGCAGTCCTAAACAGCACGTTCAGAAGGAATCCTGGACTTCCAGGTCCTCCCACACTCTCCTGATGGGTCTTTGGCCCTCCCCTGTCTTGCAGGGAAAGCGCATGCTCCTTGGAGGCCCAGAGGGGTATTCTGGCATATCCACCACCTGCCTGCCCCCAGGCGCTCTGTATGACCCACCCGAGCCCCTGGGAGTGAAGGGGGCTGCAAGGAGGTGGCAAGCGAATCAGGATGCTGAGCTGAGAGCACCAAGGGCCATAACTCCTGGGCCCAGCTCTGGGGACAGCATAGGTGGCACAGGACAGAGCCAGCCAGCAGCTGACCCCCTGGCCAGCGCGAGCTTGAGATCCTCGCCTGGCCTGCAATAAAGTGCCATTTGCAGGGTCTGCCCTGTTTCCACGGGGCTGAGGGGGAGGAGGGAAAAGAGTAGCCAGGCTTGCTACCATGTGCCAGGGCTGGGGGCGGGGGGGGGGGGGGGGGGGGGGAGGGAACACTTTCTCCTGCCTGAGTACTTCTCAGAGGGCTGGAGATGGGGTGGGATTCTTATTTCAGGGGCGAGTCCCTGACACTCTCATATGGCAGAAATCTCCAACTTCACCTTACATTGTCCTGAACGCAAAAACATTCAAAGCAACCGAGCCGCCAATATTTTCAGAAATGTCCTATGAAGACAGATCTGACGAGAGAACCACGGCTGGGTACCCTCTGTGCAAATTCCTAACCCGTCTGGCTTTCCTCCTGATGCGTGCAAACCACAGGGGTGCTGATTGGGTGCGGGGAGTGGGGGCAGCTTTAGGCACTGAGGGTGGGGAGGAGGGACAGAGAAGCCAGGGTGGCCTTTGCTGGCAGGCTCTGGCGGGGGGGGCGGGTGGGGGCGAACAGAAAAGCAGCAAAGGGGGCAAACTTGAGGGCCTGATTGGGCAGGGAGGAGACCAAAGGTAGCAGGGCAGCTGGTGGCAAATATTGCCATACTGCCATGTCTTGCCTGGAGCCTTCTGCTTCGAGGGACCAGTGCAAAAAGGCTACTCTCTGGGGGAGGAGAAGCTGAGTCCCTGGGCCCCATATCCTCTCCATGGGGCCCTGGCCCTCCATTCCCCAGAGTTCCCCCTCCCCCCAAGCTCTGAGCTCTCAGAAAATGGGGCCAGGCAGCTGGAAACAGCCGTTGAAAGCTGCAGTCTTCAGGCACCAAGACAAATGGCCTGGAAAAAGGACAGGTCAGCACCGTAGCAGGGTGTCCAGTGCCTTCCCACGGAGCCGAGGCTGCCAATGCAGGCACGGGCAGTGTGTAAGAGCATCTGCCTGTGTCCATTTTCAGACCATTTCTTAATGAATTCCGGGGGATGTCACAATCAAGCCACAGCCTACTTACAGAGCTCAAGAGTTTTAACGTCCTCAAGTCCCTCCCATATATAAGCTCTTCAAGGATTAAAGTGCTTTTTGTGTTTTCGACCTGGAAACACTAACAAGTCTTGGGGTCCAGTGAATGACCCGATGAGAGAAAATAGACCATCTTTACTGAACTCAAGGTTCCTGTGCCCTGGGGTGGCCCCATACACAGGTGTCTTCCTACAGCACACAATCCCGATAGGTGTGCATGAGCTCACATCCACTCCACACACACACACACACACACACACACACACACACACACACTCCTGTGCTCACACACGGCACCCTGTCATCAGCCCAGGGCTCAAGCTGCATCAACGACAGGATGGAGGGGAGCAGGACGCTAAGCTCTCCGGAGACAACCCTGTCATGTGGGCAGCTTTGCATTCAGAGTCTGTCTCCTGTTTCTCATCCTCAGGGGGGCTTTTGAGGGCCAAGGAGGCTGGCTTTTTTTCATCGTCACTGTCCTCCAAAGTCTTCTTTCCATGGCGAGTTTTCTGCAATTTTCCCTTAAAGGCCTTGTCACATTTGCCACACTCACCACATGTGCAAGGCTTCTCATCACTCTTGCTGGGGGCCTTCCGGCATGCGTGCGCCTGCCGGTGCTCCAGGAGGTCTAAGCTGCCCCGGAACACCTTCTTGCAGTCCTGACACTGGTGGGGCCTCTCCTCCCTGTGAACCACCTGGTGCTTGAAGAGGTTGGATCGTCGGCCGAAGGTCTTCCCACAGTCGCTGCATTCGTAGGGCTTCTCGCCACTGTGCACCCGGCGATGCTGACTGAGGCCCGAGCGACCCCGGAAGGCCTTCCCACACTCCTTGCACTGGAATGACTTGTCCCTGCTGTGGATGCGCTGGTGGTGAATGAGCTGGGAGATGCCCTTGAAAGCTTTTGGACACTTGCTGCACTTGTAGGGCTTCTCGCCACTGTGGGTCCGCTGGTGCTCAATGAGGTTAGAGCTCCTGCTGAAGGACTTTCCGCACTCATTGCACTCGTAGGGCCTCTCGCCACTGTGGATGCGTTCATGCTCCAGGAGGGCGAAGTTGCGCCGGAAGAGTTTCCCGCACTCCGAGCACTTGAAGGGCTTCTCCCCGCTGTGGATAATTTGGTGCTTGATGAGGTTGGAGCTGCGCGTAAAGGTCTTCCCGCACTCGTTGCACTCAAAGGGCTTCTCGCCACTGTGTATGCGCTGGTGCTCCAGGAGGGCGAAGCTGCGCCGGAAGAGTTTCCCGCACTCGGAGCACTCGTAGGGCTTCTCCCCGCTATGGATGATGCGGTGTTTGATGAGGTTGGAGCTCCGGCTGAAGGATTTCCCACACTGTTGACACAGGAAGCGCTTCTCTGTGCCTTTGGAACTCTGTGGCCTTGGCACTGAATCCTGCCTGACGCTGTGGTTCTTTTTCTGCACTGGCTCTCTTCTCTCTCCAGAGGAGCTGCCGTGGCCTTTCTCCCTGTGATGGTCATCCCTGCTGGAACCTGTCTCGGGAGAATAAACAGAATAAACATGTTTCTGTGTCTGCTCAGGTGTCTCCTCCAGCAGCCCGGCTCCCTGGCCCTTGCTGCCACCTGTGCATTCTTTTGGACAATGTTTCTGCTTGAAACTCAATGTCTTGCTCTTGATCCTTTTATCTGTAAAGACAGAGGGCACCAACCAGTATTGCTCCTTCCCTGGGTCTCTATTGAGGGTTTTGTCTTCACCCTCACCCTCATGCCAAGGCTGAGAGGAGATGAACCAGGAGATGATCTTGGGCAGACAGACAGGAGAGTGAGAAGGGAGGAAGTGGGGTGAGACAGCAGGAGGTGCTCCCTTCATCTGGTGCCTCCATTGAGGGGGGGTCACCTTGGGGCATTTAAATCTACCACAAAAGAGAGTTCCCCACCCAGTGACTGTGCCACCCTCCACTGACTGCTGCTCTATGCGAATAGCTCAGGCAAGCTGGCCAAGCACCTTTTACTCACCTGCCTGTGTTCCTACGGCAGCCCTTGTCCGGCTATCTGCTACCCAGGGCCACTTCCCTTTCTCCAGCAGGGAGATCAGGTGGGGCTTGGAGGATGAAAATCCTGTGCACGGAAATGAAGTGAATCAGTATCTTCAGGAACAGAGAACAAAGAACTCTCCAAAAATTGCCACTGGAAGGGTCCAGAGAAAGGGCTAAGTCCCTCTCACGAAGCAAGGGGCTCTAACCCTACAAGGGCCAGGTAGGCCCAGGGGATCTGTAGTAGATAGCGATTTGGGCCACGAGGATAAAGATGCTATTATTTGGTCACTTGGAGGGCAGCAAGCTTGTGGGATACCCCGAGGCATAGCCAAAGGGCTAGAGCAGGGATCCACTGGGGGCAAGGCCGTAGGGAGTATCAGGAAGTGAACAGAGCTGAGGGGCTGCCTGCACCCCAAAAGCCGAAGACCTCTGAATCACCAGCACACAGAGCAGCTGTCTCAGTTGTTCCTTATGCCAAACTCAGCCTACGATTCCTGGACTCCCCTGGGAAACCCAGATCTTCCTGGGGAGGGTCAGAAAGAACCCAGGGGAAGTAGCTAGTCTTTCTCAATGCGGGGGTGGGGTGGTGGTAAAATCACAGAGATGAAATCTGTTGACTCTAAAAGGAAAATTGGAGCAAAAGGGTCCACTGCAGCCCCCAAAGGCAGCGGGATGTAGCACAGGAGTTTGCCCCAGCTCCCATCCGGCTTCTGCCTGCCTTGGCCTGGGCCTCCATGACCTGGGCCCTCTGTGGCTTGATGCTGCTAAATTCTAACAAGAAACGAATGTGAAATACAGCCTTGGTAAAAGTGAATTAAGTCTCCAATAGGGCATGGAGTATTTGCACTATCTTTTGGGTAGCAGAAGTTTCGTTAACCTATGAGTTTATATGCAAAATACGTTTGCTGAGGGAGGGCACACATTTACCTAAAACATTTACAGGTCCAAACCACTGAGCTAAAAACTGCCCTGTTGAGACAAAAGCTGGGCTGCAATGGACCTACTGGGGAAACGCATTTATTCTTGGCCTTCCAGTAACCAACCAGCAAAGGAACTCACAAATAAACTGAGTTCAGCCTGGCTGGCACGTTTGCTCATGGTTCAATTCCAGGTCAGGGCAGATGCCCGGGTTGCGGGCTCGATTCCCAGTGTGGGGCATGCAGGAGGCAGCCGACCAATAATTCTCTCTCATCATTGATGTTTCTATCTCTCTCCCTCTACCTTCCTCTCTGAAATCAATATGCTGAAAGAAAAAAAGAGCCGAAACTGATTTGGCTCAGTGGATACAGCATCAGCCTGCGGACTGAAAGGTCCCGGGTTCGATTCCGGTCAAGGGCATGTACCTTGGTTGCGGGCACATCCCCAGTAGGGGCTGTGCAAGAGGCAGCTGATCAATGATTCTCTCTCATCGATGTTTCTAACTCTCTATCCATCTCTCTTCCTCTCTGTAAAAAAAAAAAAAAATCAATAAAATGTATCTTTAAAAAAGAAAGAAAAAAAGAGAAAGAGAGAAAGAGAGAAAGAGAGAAAGAGAGAAAGAGAGAAAGAGAGAAAGAGAGAAAGAAAGAAAGAAAGAAAGAAAGAAAGAAAGAAAGAAAGAAAGAAAGAAAGAAAGAAAGAAGAGTTGAGATTGAGTAGGAGGCACTGAGTGTGTGTGGGGTCCTTACCCAGTGACACTAAATGGCGGTAGTTCTCCAGCATCACTTGCTTGTAGAGGATCCTTTGATTGAGATCCAGAAGCTTCCATTCGGACTTGCTGAAGTTCACAGACACGTCCTCAAAAGATACTGGCACCTAAAACGAGCCATTCCTGTGACTGCAGGGAAATTCACCCTCTTCGGCCCCAAGGTGAGGTAGGTGGGGGCAACTAAAGATGGGGCAAGGGCGGTACTGGGGAGCACAGCAGCCAGGGGAGGCTCGGAGTTGCAACAGTTGTGAGGCTGGGACACAAGGGGGGTGTCAGGTGGAGGCCATTAAGGGGAGATGCTGAGGCGAGGGGCAGCCCGTAGCTGGGAGTCCCACTCACCTTGGCTCTGGTCTTTAGGAGAATGGCTGCCATGGCAGAGGCACGGAGAAGCTAAGGGAAGTGGAAAGAGGCAGGTGTGAGAGGAGCCCCACTGTACTCCAGTACAGCCCATCCATTCACAGCCCCTGGGGACAAGACTTTTTAGGGGACACAATTCAACCCATAACACTTAACCAAACGGAGCTTCTGTCCCCTCTCCTCACCTGTGCAGTGAGGCCAAGGACACAGGTTTACTCCCTCCTCTTGCCAGCAGCACCTAACAGGCTTTCAAGGAAGTGTGTTTCTTCTTTCCTGTTCTTTTTTTCTTTTTAAATATATATTTTATTGATTTTCTATAGAGAGGAAGAGAGAGGGATAGAGAGTTAGAAATATCGATGAGAGAGAATCATCGATCAGTTGCCTCTTGCACACCCCCTACTGGGGATGTGCCCGCAACCAAGGTACATGCCCTTGACCGGAATCGAACCCGAGACCTTTCAGTCTGACGCTCTATCCACTGAGCCAAACCGGTTTCGGCTCTTCCCTGTTTTATTATTATTTTTTTTAATTTTAAAAATATATTGTATTTTGATTTTTTACAGAGAAGAAGGGAGAGGGTGAGAGAGAGCCAGAAACTTCAGTGAGAGAGAAACATCAATCAGCTGCCTCCTGCACACTCCCCACTGGGTATATCCCTGCAACCAAGGCACATGCCCTTGATCACAATCAAACCTGGGACCCACAAGCCGATGCTCTATCCACTGAGCCAAACCGGTCAAGGCTAAAAAGAAATATATTTTTATTGATTTCAGAGAGAAAGGGAGAGGGGGAGAGAGATAGAAACATCAATAATGAGAGAGATTCACTGATGGGATGCCTCCTGCACACTCCCTACTGGGGATCAAACCCCCAAACCGGGCATGTGTCCTGATTGGGAATTGAACCCTGATCTCCTGGTTCATAGGTTGACACTCAACCACTGGGCAATGCCAGCTGGGCTCTTCTCTCTTTTCTTATTCTCATTTCCTTCTTCTCTTGGCCCTTTTCTCATGTGGGCAGTACCCATGACCCCAACTTTCCAGCCATCCCTAGAAGTTCCGTTGCCAGCCCCCTTTCCCCTCAGGTAAGGGTTCTTACAAAAAACAAACAACATAAAAACAAACAAACAAACAAAAAAACACAACTCTAAACATACCGACTCCACCTGCAAACAGACTTTCTCTCAAGGGGAAGAGAAAGACCAGGCTGGTGCGCTGCACAATGAAGGGACACACGATGGAGGTGGGGGGGGAAGAGGAGGAAAGGGGGGTACTTTCTGGAGAAGTAACATTTAGGCCAAGAGATGAAGGTTGGAGGTAAGGAGAGCAGCAGACCAAGAGCATGCTCATGTCCAGCCCTCAGATAGGCCTGAGTGCAGCGCTCATGGTGCTGAAAACTGGCTGGCTGGCGGAGGGGAGGGGGTGGCCGGGGGTGGGGGAAAGGGACAAGGGGGAGGAGTTTGCAGAAGGTGAGGCCATGCTGGGGGTCCTCTCCCCCCCTCCCCAGGACAGGAAGGAACCCCAGGCTCACATTAAGGGCAGGAAGAGCGTGTCACTGACAAAGTGGACAGAACCAGATTTCTTTCTCCACATCAGTTCTCAAAGCCAGAAGAAGAAAGTTTGCTCTAAGGATGTTTTCACCCAACTGGAGACTGACAGGGGGAAAGTCCTGGGTGGAGCAGCGGAGGAACAAGGCTGCATAGGGTGGGTGGGCCTGCGCCCGGAGTGTTTCTTATGCTGCTGTGGGCAAGCACAGTGTGTTTGCGCAACAGGAGAGAGGACAAAGGGACAGGGTCCCCAGAGCATTGAAATTGGCCCCACGTCCCTTATCATCTGTGATAAATTGTCAGTCTTCACTGGCCCTGAATAAATAAACTCAAATGTCTTTCGAAGAAGTTTCTATGAATCAGAGAGAGAATCCCTAAGGTCGAGTGGATGCTGAAAACCATTAGATGGCCCTAGCCAGTTTGGCTCAGTGGACAGAGCGTGGGCTTGCAGACCAAAGGGTCTCGGGTTTGATTCCGGTCAAGGGCACGTACCTAGGTTGCAGGCTCCTCCCTGGCCCAGGCCGGGTTGGGACTTGTGCAGGAGGCAGCCAATCAATGTGTTTCTCTCATTTCGATGTTTCTTTCCCTCTGTCTTCCACTTTCCCTAAAAAATCAGTGGAAAAATATCGTCGGGTGAAGATTAACAAACAGACAGAAAAAAGAGATCCACATTGAAGCATTTTGGGAGAAAAGGGCCTGTAAACTTAATTTAAAATGCTGGGAAGGGAACTGAAGGGAAGGGAAGGGAAGGAAAGGGCAAAGTAGGAAATAAGGGGAGCTGGAGGGCACTGCCTGGGACAGTGGTCGGCAAACTCATTAGTCAACAGAGCCAAACATCAACAGAACAAAGATTGAAATTTCTCTTGAGAGCCAGATTTTTTAAACCTAAACTTCTTCTAGCGCCACTTCTTCAAAATTATCTCGCCCAGGCCGTGGTATTTTGTGGAAGAGCCACACTCAAGGGGACAAAGAGCCACATGTGGCTCGCGAGCCACAGTTTGCCGACCACGGGCCTGGGAGGCTGGTACCTGGGCTTCATGACACTAGTCTCTCTACGTGTCTGTTGGCTCGACGGTGTTCCAAATTAAAAGGGAAAACAGTCTGATGGTTCCTCAGTAAGTAAACATAGTTATCGCATGACCCAGCCATTCCACTCCTGGACACATACTCAACAGAACTGCAAACAGGTGTGCAAATAAAAGCCTGTACATGAGTGTTCCTAGCAGCGTGATTCACCAGAGCAGAAACAGGTGGAAACAAGCCAATGCTCAGCGTCTGAAGAATGGAACCGATGAACTAAACGTGGTCCGTATACACGCACTGAAATATTACTTGGCCGGAAAGAGGAATGAGATGCCGATACATGCTACAATGCAGGCGAACCTTGGAGACGGTATTCTCAGTGACAAGAGCCAGACACACAATAGGCCACAGATGGAATGATTTCATTTAGATGAGGTAATACAATATTTCACAAGAGCTGTCTCGACCTAGTTTGGAACTTATGACTGAAAACCCCCCTTTCTCTGCTCTTCATGGGCAGTTTGTTGAGCTCTCATCCCAGCTACCTTCCTCATCAGGGGCCCTTTCTCTGGGGCCACTAAACGTGTCCTCAACCCCCCCTATTGGGCTCTCACACTCAGGGGTCAGTACAAGAAAACTAGGGAAAGCCCCTGTGCCCAGAGGAACCCTGAAGAAACTAGCGCGCTACCCGGGTGCGCCCCCAACATGGCAGCCTTCTCTCCTTTGAATTGTTAGAAAGAGTTCTGCCTTTCATCTCTCGTTGTGTCACTGTCCTGTGACCTGCCATCAAAAAATAATCTCCTCTTTAAAAATATTATATGACCAGGGCAGCTGTGGCTCAATCGGGTGAGCACCGAGGAGTCACCCGTTCAATTTCAGGTCAGGGCACATGCCCAGGTTTCAGGATCAATTCCCGGTGTGGGTGCATAGTGGAGACAGCTGATTGATGATTCTCTCTCACATCGATGTTTTTCTCTCTTTAAAAAAAGATCAATAAAAACATATTTTTTAAAAAAACCAATATATGACACTCTAAATGGTTTGGCTCAGTGGATAGAGCATCAGCCTGTGGACTCAAGGGTCCCAGGTTTGATTCTGGTCAAGGGCATGTACCTTGGTTGTGAGCACATCCCCAGTAGGGAGTGTGCAGGAAGCAGCTGATTAATGTTTCTTGCTCATTGATGTTTCTAACTCTCTATCTCTCTCCCTTCCTCTCTGTAAAAAAAAAAAAATCAATAAGATATATCTTTAAAAAACACACACACCAATATATGACATGTCCAGAATAGGAAAATCCAGAGAGTCAGAGAGCAGATCGGCAGGCATGAAGTGTGAGGGTGTGTGTGTGGGGGGAGGGAGGAGCCTTGTGTGCGTGTGTGTGCATGTGTGTGCATGTGTGTGTGTATGTGTGTGCGTGCCCGCACATGTGACTGCTTTTTGTGTATAGGATTTTCTCCATAGGTGATGAAAATATTCTGTAACAAGACAGCGGTGATGGTTGCACAGCATTGTTAATGTGCTTAATGCAGCTGAATTATTCACTCTAAAATGGTTAATTTGATTTTGTGTGAATCTCATCTCAATAAAAAGGGGGGGGGTCAAGAGGTGTGCCTATCGAGTATCATGCTGATGTCCACACGTCACATTTCACTCTGATGCCCCGTCAGTCACTGGGGGACATAACGGGATAAAGGTGCAAGGTAGAGACTAATAAGAACATCTGGGCTTTCCAGACCAGCAGCATTGTTTTGAACAGCTCGTGCCTCTTTTCTCTCTCCTACGGCTGTAACGCCAGGTCATGGTCCATAATGGAAAACAGAAAAGTCTAAAGGAAGAGGCGTTATCTACGGTCCCCCACTCCAAGACATACTGGGGTCCAAGCCCCAAGTGGAGAAGCAGTCATTGAGCTGTGACTGCCTGAGGGAAATAGCATAACAGGCTCACCTGTAGATAGAGACCAACACTCAAGTTCAACACCACTAGGCGCAGTGGGAGGTGCCAGCCACGATCAGTGGTCGCACGCAACAGTATCTGTGCTTGAGACCTAGTCCCCTTATGTCAGGACACTTCCAAATCCTGGAAGGAAAGATATGGCAAGCCCTTTCCTCACGGACTATAACTCCTAGTAACCCTCCAGGTGGAATGGGAAGACACTCCCTAGCACGTGCATAAAGAACAATCTAGAAGGAGCCTGTCAAGCTGGTCAGCAGCTTCTCCTAAGACCCTTTGACCTTGGGCAACCAGAATAGAGCAACTGAAAGATGATTCTAGACCCCGAAGCTCAGCTTTCCTGAAACCTGGCAGTGGGATGCAGGAGAGGGTCCATGGGACAGCAGTGCCCGGGCCAGAAGCCAGGGAGGCCCTGCCAGCCTCCTCCTGGGCTGGTTTGCACCCAAGAAGGGGGCAGACTCCCACCCCTTCTCTGATCCTGGCAGAGAGAAAGCTGAGAACCAGGAGCCACCTGCCCACCCAGCTGGAGTGCAGGGGGCTAAGTGAAGCAGGCTCCAAAGCCCAAAGCGGGAGGGGCGGCCAGTGGGCTTGGGCGCTGATGCCTTCAGAAGACCACGAGATGGGGCTATTTCCCCAGAAAAAAAAGGAAACAGAAAACAAACAAACAACTGGCAAGGCAGTCAGCAGTCCCCCCCCACTCAGGCTGGATCAGGAACTGGGGGGGAGGGGGAGGTCATCCACAGGGAAGGTGGTCT